CAAATCGACTCCTAAAATCAACTCCTAAAATCCTAAAATCAACCCTAAAATCAACCCTAAATCTCAAAATTAACTCTAAAATCAACCCCTAAAATCTCTAAAATCCCCTAAAATCAACCTCCAAAATCCACTCAAAATCAGCCCTAAAATCAACTCCTAAATCAACCTCAAAATCAACCCCTAAATCAACCCTAAATCTCAAATTAACTCCTAAAATCAACCTAAAATCAACTCCCAAAATCAACCCCTAAATAAACCCCAAAGTCCCTCAAATCAACCTAAAATCAACCTAAAATCGACTCAAATTAACCCTAAATCAACCCCAAAATCGACCCCAAAATCCCCCAAAATCAACCCCAAAATCAACCCAAAATCAACCCCAAAATCTACCCCAAAATAAACCCCAAAGTCCCCCAAAATCAACCCAAAATCAACCCAAAATCGACCAAAATTAACCCTAAATCAACCCCAAAATCGACCCCAAAATCCCCCAAAATCAACCCCAAAATCAACCCCAAAATCAACCCCAAAATCCTAAAAATCAACCCCAAATCAACCCCAAATCCTCAAAATTAACCCCAAAATCAACCCCAAAATCAACTCCAAAATCAACCCCAAAATCAACCCCAAAATCAACCCCAAAATCCACTCCAAAATCCACTCCAAAATCCACTCCAAAATCAACCCCAAAATCACTTTTGGGGACAGTTTTAGGGACACTTTTTGGGGACAATTTGGGGACATTTTGGGGTCAGTTTTGGGGTCATTTCTGGGACAATTTGGGGCCATTTGGGGGACACATTGGGGACATTTCTGGGGACAATTTTGGGCACAATTTGGGGACATTTTGTCCCCAACGCCACCAGGAAGATCCCAAAGGTCCCTGAGTGTCCCTTGAGTGTCCTCAATGTCCCCTGGATATCCCAAAGGTCCTGGGGTGTCCCCAAATGTCCCCTGGGTGTCCCCAATGTCCCCTGGGTGTCCCTGAGTGTCCCTGAGTATCCCAAAGGTCCCCAGGGTGACCCCAAAGGTCCCAGGGTGTCCCCAATGCCACCAGGGTGTCCTCAATGTCCCTGAGTGTCCCCAACACCCCTAGGATGTCCCCAACATCTCCAGAACCTCCAGGGTGTCCCCCAATGCCACCAGGAAGACCCCAAAGGTCTCTGAGTGTCCCGAGTGTCCCCAGGGTGTCCCCAATGCCACCAGGGTGTCCCCAAAGGTCCCAGGGTGTCCCCAACACCCCCAGGGTGTCCCCTGAGTGTCCCCAACATCCCCAGGGTGTCCCCAATGTCCCTGAGAGTCCCAAAGGTCCCAGGGTGTCCCCAAAGGTCCCTGAGTGACCCCAAGGTTCTGGGGTGTCCCCAATGCCACCAGGAAGACCCCAAAGGTCCCAGGGTGTCCCCAACACCCCTAGGATGTCCTCAACATCTCCAGGACCTCCTGGGTGTCCCCCAATGCCACCAGGGTGTCCCCAAAGGTCCCTGAGTGTCCCCTGAGTATCCCAATGACCCCAAGGTTCTGGGGTGTCCCCAATGCCACCAGGGTGTCCCCAAAGGTCCCTGAGTGTCCCCTGAGTGTCCCCAAGGTCCCAGGGTGTCCCCAGTGCCACCAGGATGTCCCCAACATCTCCAGGACCTCCTGAGTGACCCCAATGCCACCAGGGTGTCCCCAAAGGTCCCAGGGTGTCCCCAATGTCCCCTGGGTGTCCCCTGAGTGTCCCCAACATCCCCAACATCCCCTGGATGTCCTCAATGTCCCCAACATCTCCAGGACCTCCAGGGTGTCCCCCAATGCCACCAGGAAGACCCCAAAGGTCCCAGGGTGTTCCCAACACCCCTAGGATGTCCCCAACACCCCCAGGACCTCCTGGGTGTCCCCAAAGTTCTGGGGTGACCCCAATGCCACCAGGGTGTCCCCAAAGGTCCCTGAGTGTCCCCTGAGTGTCCCAAAGGTCCCCAGGGTGACCCCAATGCCACCAGGATGTCCCCAACATCTCCAGGACCTCCTGGGTGTCCCCAAAGGTCCCAGGGTGTCCCCAAGGTTCTGGGGTGACCCCAATGCCACCAGGGTGTCCCAAAACGACCCCAAATGACCCCAAAACGACCCCAAACAATCCCAGCCCCCCCCAAACCCCCAATCCCCCAGCCCCCTGCAGGTGCCCCCCTCACCTGCCGATGATGCTCTTGATCTGCGAGTCCTTCTCCTGCTGCTGCTGCCACCCCAACACCCCCAGGATGTCCCTAAATGTCCCCTGAGTGTCCTGAGTGTCCCCTGAGTGTCCCAAAGGTCCCTGAGTGTCCCCAAAGGTCCCAGGGTGTCCTCAATGTCCCCTGGATGTCCCAAGATCTTGGGGTGTCCCCAATGCCACCAGGATGTCCCCAAAGGTCCCTGAGTGTCCCTTGAGTGTCCCCAACACCTCCAACATCTCCTGGGTGTCCTCATTGACCCCAAGGTTCGGGGGTGACCCCAACACCACCAAACGTCCCCAAAAACCCCCAAAACGACCCCAAACCACCCCCTACCCCCAACCCCTGCAGGTGCCCCCTCACTTGCCGATGATGCCTTGATCTGCGTAGTCCTTCTCCTGCTGCTGCTGCCACCCCAACACCCCCAGGATGTCCCCAAGGTTCTGGGGTGTCCCCAAAGATCTCAGGATGACCCCAGCCCCCCAACCCCCTGCAGGTGCCCCCCTCACCTGCCGATGATGCTCTTGATCTGCGAGTCCTTCTCCTGCTGCTGCTGCCACCCCAACACCCCCAGGATGTCCCCTGAGTGTCCCCCTTGAGTGTCCCCAACATCCCAGGGTGTCCCCAATGTCCCCTGAGTGTCATCTGAGTGTCCCCAACATCTCCAACATCCCCTGGGTGTCCTCATTGACCCCAAGGTCTTGGGGTGACCCCAATGCCACCAGGATGTCCCCAAAGGTCCCTGAGTGTCCCCTGAGTGTCCCAAAGGTCCCAGGGTGACCCCAAAGGTCCCTGAGTGTCCCAACACCCCTAGGATGTCCCCTGAGTGTCCCCAACATCTCCAGGACCTCCTGGGTGTCCCCCAATGCCACCAGGGTGTCCCCAAAGGTCCCTGAGTGTCCCCAAACGTCCCAGGGTGACCCCAAAGGTCCCCAGGGTGACCCCAAAGGTCCCTGAGTGTCCCCAATGCCACCAGGGTGTCCCCAATGTCCTCTGGGTGTCCCGAATGTCCCCTGGGTGTCACCTGAGTGTCCCCAACATCTCCAACACCTCCAACATCCCCTGGGTGCCCCCAGTGCCACCAGGATGTCCCCAAAGGTCCCTGAGTGTCCCCTGAGTATCCCAATGACCCCAAGGTCTTGGGGTGACCCCAGTGCCACCAGGGTGTCCCCAACATCCCCAGGGTGTCCCCAAAGGTCCCTGAGTGACCCCAAGGTTCTGGGGTGACCCCAATGCCACCAGGATGACCCCAAAGGTCCCAGGATGTCCCCTGAGTGTCCCCAACATCTCCAACACCTCCAACACCCCCTGGGTGCCCTCAATGTCCCCAAGGTTCTGGGGTGACCCCAAATGTCCCCAAACAACCCCAAATGACCCCAAAAACCCCACCCCCCCCAACCCCCTGCAGGTGCCCCCCTCACCTGCCGATGATGCTCTTGATCTGCGAGTCCTTCTCCTGCTGCTGCTGCCACCCCAACACCCCCAGGATGTCCCCAATGCCACCAGGGTGTCCCCTGAGTGTCCCCAACACCCCCAAGGTCCCCTGAGTGTCCCTGGGTGTCCCCAAAGGTCCCAGGGTGACCCCAAAGGTCCCTGAGTGTCCTCAACACCCCTAGGATGTCCCCTGAGTGTCCCCAACATCTCCAACATCCCCTGGATGTCCTGAGGTCCCTGAGTGTCCCCAAAGGTCCCAGGGTGACCCCAACACCCCTAGGATGACCCCAAAGGTCCCAGGATGTCCCCTGAGTGTCCCCAACACCCCCAGGATGTCCCCAAGGGTTTTGGGGTGTCCCAACCCCCCCCAACCCCCCCTGCAGGTGCCCCCCTCACCTGCCGATGATGCTCTTGATCTGCGAGTCCTTCTCCTGCTGCTGCTGCTGCCACCCCCAGTGTCCCCAAACCCCCCATCTCCAATGTCCCCAGGGTGTCCCCAAGGTCCCCAAGGTCCCCTGGGTGTCCCCAATGTCCCCTTGAGTGTCCTGAGTGTCCCTGAGTATCCCAAAGGTCCCTGAGTGACCCCAAGGTCCCCTGAGTGTCCCCCAAAGGTCCCTGAGTGACCCCAAAGGTCCCTGAGTGACCCCAAGGTTCTGGGGTGTCCCCAATGCCACCAGGGTGTCCCCAAAGGTCCCTGAGTGTCCCCTGAGTGTCTCCAATGTCCCCTGAGTGACCCCAACACCCCTAGGATGTCCCCAACACCCCCAGGACCTCCTGGGTGTCCCCAATGTCCCCTGGGTGTCCTGAGTGTCCCTGAGTGTCCCAAAGGTCCCCAGGGTGACCCCAAAGGTCCCCTGAGTGTCCCCAACACCTCCAACATCCCCTGGATGTCCTGAGGTCCCTGACAGTCCCCAAGACCTTGGGGTGTCCCCAACACCCCCAGGACCTCCTGGGTGCCCCCAACACCCCCAGGATGACCCCAGTGCCACCAGGAAGACCCCAACACCACCAGGATGTCCCAAAACGACCCCAAACATCCTCAGCCCCCCCAAACCCCCCTGCAGGTGCCCCCCTCACCTGCCGATGATGCTCTTGATCTGCGAGTCCTTCTCCTGCTGCTGCTGCCACCCCCAGTGTCCCCCCCAACACCCCCAGGATGTCCCCAACACCCCCAGGACCTCCTGGGTGTCCCCAAAGGTCCCAGGGTGTCCCCAAAGGTCCCTGAGTGTCCCCAACATCTCCAACATCCCCAGGGTGTCCCTCAATGTCCCCAAGGTTCTGGGGTGACCCCAACACCACCAAACGTCCCCAAAACGACCCCAAACCACCCAAAACATCCTCAGCCCCCCCAACCCCCTGCAGGTGCCCCCCTCACCTGCCGATGATGCTCTTGATCTGCGAGTCCTTCTCCTGCTGCTGCTGGCGCAGGCGGCGCTCGCTGAGCTCGAGGCGCTGCTGGTACTGCAGGAGGATGCGGCTCGTCTGCTCCTCCTGCGTCACCAGGCGCCGCTCGTACTCCTCCAGCTTGCGGTTGGACAGGTGCAGCCGCTCCTTCAGCGAGTGGATCTCCTCCTCGTACTCCTTCACCTGCCACACGTCACACCTGGGGGCTCCTGGGGGCACCTGGGACCCCCCAGAACCTCCTGGGACCACCCAGAACCTCCTAGAACCTTCTATGGGGCACCTGAGGGCACCTGGGACCTCCTAGAACCTTCTATGGGGCACCTGGGACCTTCTATGGGACACCTGGGACCTTCTATGGGGCACCTGGAGGCACCTGGGACCTCCTAGAACCTTCTATGGGGCACCTGGAGGCACCTGGGACCTCCTAGAACCTTCTATAGGGCACCTGGGACCTCCTAGAACCTTCTATGGGGCACCTGGGACCTTCTATGGGACACCTGGACTCTCAGGAACCCAACCCTGGTGACACCTGGAGACACCTGGGACCTCCTAGAACCTTCTATGGGACACCTGGGACCTTCTATGGGCACCTGGACCTTCTATGGGACACCTGGAGGCACCTGGGACCTCCTAGAACCTTCTATGGGGCACCTGGAGGCACCTGGGACCTCCTAGAACCTTCTCTGGGGCACCTGGGCCCTTCTCTGGGACACCTGGAGGCACCTGGGACCTCCTAGAACCTTCTATGGGGCACCTGGGACCTTCTATGGGGCACCTGGGACCTTCTATGGGACACCTGGAGGCACCTGGGACCTCCTAGAACCTTCTATGGGGCACCTGGAGGCACCTGGGACCTCCTAGAACCTTCTCTGGGGCACCTGGGACCTTCTCTGGGACACCTGGGCACAGGTGCAGCCGCTCCTTCAGCGAGTGGATCTCCTCCTCGTCCTCCTTCACCTGCCACACGTCACACCTGGGGGCTCCTGGGGCCACCTGGGACCCTCTAGAACCTTCTATGGGGCTCCCAGAACCTCCCAGAACCTCCTGGGACCACCCAGAACCTCCCAGAACCTTCTATGGGGCTCCCAGAACCTCCTGAGACCTTCTATGGGGCACCTGGACTCTCAGGAACCCAACCCTGGTGACACCTGGAGACACCTGGGACCTTCTATGGGACACCTGGAGGCACCTGGGACCTCCCAGAACCTTCTATGGGGCACCTGGGACCTTCTATGGGACACCTGGAGGCACCTGGGACCTTCTATGGGGCACCTGGAGGCACCTGGGACCACCTAGAACCTTCTATGGGGCACCTGGGACCTTCTATGGGGCACCTGGAGGCACCTGGGACCTCCTAGAACCTTCTCTGGGACACCTGGGACCTTCTATGGGCACCTGAGGCACCTGGGACCTCCTAGAACCTTCTATGGGGCACCTGGGACCTCCTGGAACCTTCTATGGGGCACCTGGGACCTCCTGGGACCTCCTAGAACCTTCTATGGGGCACCTGGGACCTTCTATGGGACACCTGAGGGCACCTGGGACCTCCTAGAACCTTCTCTGTGGCACCTGGGACCTTCTATGGGGCACCTGGAGGCACCTGGGACCTCCTAGAACCTTCTATGGGACACCTGGGACCTTCTATGGGGCACCTGGAGGCACCTGGGACCTCCTAGAACCTTCTATGGGGCACCTGGAGGCACCTGGGACCTCCTAGAACCTTCTATGGGGCACCTGGGACCTTCTCTGGGGCACCTGGGACCTTCTATGGGGCACCTGGAGGCACCTGGGACCTTCTAGAACCTTCTATGGGGCACCTGGAACCTCCTAGAACCTTCTATGGGGCACCTGGGACCTTCTCTGGGGCACCTGGGCACAGGTGCAGCCGCTCCTTCAGCGAGTGGATCTCCTCCTCGTCCTCCTTCACCTGCCACACGTCACACCTGGGCGCTCCTGGGGCCACCTGGGACCCCCCAGAACCTCCCAGAACCTTCTATGGGGCACCTGGAGCAACCTAGAACCTCCTGGGACCTTCTATGGGGCACCTGGGCACAGGTGCAGCCGCTCCTTCAGCGAGTGGATCTCCTCCTCGTCCTCCTTCACCTGCCACACGTCACACCTGGGGGCTCCTGGGGCCACCTGGGGCCACCTGGGGCCACCTGGAGCACCCCAGAACCTCCCAGAACCTCCCAGATCCTCCTGGGACCACCCAGAACCTCCTGAGACCACCCAGAACCTCCTGGGACCTTCTAAGTGACACCTGAGGGCACCTGGGACACTCTAAGGGACACCTGGACTCTCAGGAACCCAACCCTGGTGACCACCTGGAGGCACCTGGGACCTCCTAGAACCTCCTGGGACCCTCTAATTGACACCTGAGGGCACCTGGGACCTTCTATGGGACACCTGGGACCTTCTCTGGGGCACCTGGGCACAGGTGCAGCCGCTCCTTCAGCGAGTGGATCTCCTCCTCGTCCTCCTTCACCTGCCACACGTCACACCTGGGGGCTCCTGGGGCCACCTGGGGCCCTCTAGAACCTTCTAGAACCACCTGGGACCTCCCAGAACCTCCCAGGACCTTCTATGGGACACCTGAGGGCACCTGGGACCTTCTATGGGGCACCTGGGACCTTCTATGGGGCACCTGGGATCTTCTATGGGACACCTGGGACCTCCTAGAACCTTCTATGGGGCACCTGGGACCCCTAGGGGCACCTGGGACCTTCTATGGGGCACCTGAGGGCACCTGGGACCTTCTATGGGGCACCTGGAACCTTCTCTGGGGCACCTGGAGACACCTGGGACCTTCTATGGGACACCTGGAGGCACCTGGGACCTCCTAGAACCTTCTATGGGGCACCTGGGACCTTCTCTGGGGCACCTGGAGGCACCTGGGACCTCCTAGAACCTTCTATGGGACACCTGGACTCTCAGGAACCCAACCCTGGTGACCACCTGAACATCTGGGAACCCTCTGTGGTCACACCTGGGACCTCCTAGAACCTTCTCTGGGACACCTGGGACCTTCTATGGGGCACCTGGAGGCACCTGGGACCTCCTAGAACCTTCTATGGGGCACCTGGAGGCACCTGGGACCTCCTAGAACCTTCTATGGGGCACCTGGAGGCACCTGGGACCTCCTAGAACCTTCTATGGGGCACCTGGGACCTTCTATGGGGCACCTGGAGGCACCTGGGACCTCCTAAAACCTTCTATGGGGCACCTGGGACCTTCTATGGGGCACCTGGAGGCACCTGGGACCTCCTGGAACCTTCTCTGGGGCACCTGGGACCTTCTATGGGGCACCTGGGACCTCCTGGGACCTCCTAGAACCTTCTATGGGACACCTGGGACCTTCTATGGGGCACCTGGAGGCACCTGGGACCTCCTAGAACCTTCTATGGGGCACCTGGGACCTTCTATGGGGCACCTGGGACCTTCTATGGGGCACCTGGAGGCACCTGGGACCTCCTAGAACCTTCTATGGGGCACCTGGGACCTTCTCTGGGGCACCTGGGACCTTCTATGGGGACACCCAGATTTTTTTGGGTTTATTTCCCAGATTTTTTGGGTTTATTTCCCAGATTTTTTGGGTTTATTTCCCAGATTTTTTGGGGTTTATTTCCCAGATTTTTTGGATTTATTTCCCAGATTTTTTGGGGTTTATTTCCCAGATTTTTGGGTTTATTTCCCCAAATTTTAGGTTTATTTCCCAGATTTTTAGGGTTTATTTCCCAGATTTTTTGGGGTTTATTTCCCAGATTTTTGGGTTTATTTCCCTCATTTTTTGGGTTTATTTCCAGATTTTTGGGTTTATTTCCCAGATTTTTAGGGTTTATTTCCCAGATTTTTTGGGGTTTATTTCCCAGATTTTTGGGTTTATTTCCCAGATTTTTTAGGTTTATTTCCCAGATTTTTTGGGTTTATTCCCCAGATTTTTTAGGGTTTATTTCCCAGATTTTTTGGGTTTATTTCCCATATTTTTGGGTTTATTTCCCAGATTTTTTGGGTTTATTTCCCACATTTTTTGGGTTTATTCCCCAGATTTTTTGGGGTTTATTTCCCAGATTTTTTGGGTTTATTTCCCAGATTTTTTGGGGTTTATTTCCCAGATTTTTTGGCTTTATTTCCCAGATTTTTGGGTTTATTTCCCAGATTTTTGGGTTTATTTCCCAGATTTTGGGTTTATTTCCCAGATTTTTGGGGTTCTCTCCCAGATTTTTTGGGGTTTATTTCCCAGATTTTTTGGGGTTCCTCTCCCAGATTTTTTGGGTTTATTTCCCAGATTTTTTGGGTTTATTTCCCAGATTTTTTGGGGTATATTCCCTAGATTTTTAGGGTTTATTTCCTAGATTTTTTTAGGTTTATTTCCCACATTTTTTGGGTTTATTTCCCAGATTTTTTGGGTTTATTTCCCAGATTTTTTGGGTTTATTTCCCAGATTTTTGGGTTTATTTCCAGATTTTTGGTTTATTTCCCAGATTTTTAAGGTTTATTTCCCAGATTTTTTGGGTTTATTTCCCAGATTTTTTGGGTTTATTTCCCAGATTTTTTGGATTTATTTCCCAGATTTTTAAGGTTTATTTCCCAGATTTTTTGGGTTTATTTCCCAGATTTTTTGGGTTTATTTCCCAGATTTTTTAGGTTTATTTCCTCAGATTTTTTGGGTTTATTTCCCAGATTTTTGGGTTTATTTCCCAAAGTTTTGGGTTTATTCCCCAGATTTTTTGGGTTTATTTCCCAGATTTTTGGGTTTATTTCCCACATTTTTTGGGTTTATTTCCCAGATTTTTTGGGTTTATTTCCCAGATTTTTTGGGTTTATTTCCCCAATTTTAGGGTTTATTTCCCAGATTTTTTGGGTTTATTTCCCAGATTTTTTGGGTATATTCCCCAGATTTTTTGGGTTTATTTCCCCAGATTTTTGGGGTTTATTTCCCAGATTTTTTGGGTTTATTTCCCAGATTTTTTGAGGTTCTCCCCCCAGATTTTTTAGGTTTATTTCCCAGATTTTTGGGGTTTATTTCCCAGATTTTTTGGGTTTATTTCCCACATTTTTTTGGGTTTATTTCCCAGATTTTTTGGGGTTTATCTCCCAGATTTTTTGGGTCTATTTCCCAGATTTTTTAGGTTTATTTCCCAGATTTTTGGATTTATTTCCCAGATTTTTAGGTTTATTTCCCAGATTTTTTGGGTTTATTTCCCAGATTTTTTGGGTTTATTTCCCAGATTTTTGAGTTTATTTCCCAGATTTTTTGGGTTTATTTCCCGATTTTTAGGGTTTATTTCCCAGATTTTTTGGGTTTATTTCCCACATTTTTGGGGTTTATTCCCCAGATTTTTTGAGTTTATTCCCCAGATTTTTTAGGGTTTATTTCCCAGATTTTTTGGGTTTATTTCCCCAATTTTTTGGGTTTATTTCCCAGATTTTTTGGGTTTATTTCCCAGATTTTTTGGGGTCTCCCTCTCTAATTTTTGGGTTTATTTCCCAGATTTTTGGGGTTTATTTCCCAGATTTTTTGGGTTTATTTCCCAGATTTTTTAGGTTTATCTCCCAGATTTTTTGGGTTTATTTCCCAGATTTTTTAGGGTGTCCCTTCCCAATTTTTTGAGGTTCTCCTCCCAGATTTTTAGGGTTTATTTCCTAGATTTTTTGGGGTTCCCCTCCCTAATTTTTGAGGTATATCTCCCAGATTTTTAGGGTTTATTTCCCAATTTTTTGAGTGTATCTCCCCAGATTTTTTTGGGGTGTCCCTCCCTAATTTTTGGGTTTATTATTTCCCAGATTTTTAGGGTTTATTTCCCAGATTTTTGGGTGTTATCTCCCCAATTTTTGGGTATATTTCCCAGATTTTTTGGGGTGTAGCCTGAGGGTTTTTTAGGTTTATTTCCCAGATTTTTAGGGTCTCCCTCCCCAATTTTTTGAGTGTATCTCCCCAGATTTTTGGGGTTCCCCTCCCCAATTTTTTGGCTGTATCTCCCCGATTTTTTGGGGTGTATTCCCATATTTTTGGGGGTGTTTCCCCTACCCGGTCCAGCCGGCTCTCGTCCATGGACTTGGAGTACTCCTTGAGCTTGTACTCCTGACCCCTCACCTGGCCCAGGTTTTTGGGTTTATTTCCCAGATTTTTAGGGTTTATTTCTCCAGATTTTTAGGGTTTATTTCCTAGATATTTTGGGGTGTCTCTCCCCATATTTTTGAGGTGTCCCTCCCCAATCTTTAGGGTGTCCTTCCCAGATTTTTAGGGTTTATTTCCCAGATTTTTGAGGTTTATCTCCCAGATTTTTGGAGTGTATCTCCCCAGATTTTTGGAGTATATTTCCCAGATTTTTAGGGTTTATTTCCCTGATTTTTTGGGGTGTCCCTCCCCAATTTTTGGGTGTATCTCCCCAGATTTTTTGGGTTTATTTCCCAGATTTTTAGGATGTATCTCCCCAATTTTTTGAGTGTATCTCCCCAGATTTTTGACGTATATCTCCCAGATTTTTTGGGGTGTTTTCCCAGATTTTTGGGGTGCCCCTGGGGGTTTTTTGGGTTTATTTCCCCTACCCGGTCCAGCCGGCTCTCGTCCATGGACTTGGAGTACTCCTTGAGCTTGTGCTCCTGACCCTCACCTGGCCCAGGTTTTTGGGTTTATTTCCCAGATTTTTGGGGTTATCTCCCAATTTTTGGGTTTATTTCCCAGATTTTTTGGGTTTATTTCCTAGATATTTTGGGGTGTCTCTCCCCATATTTTTGAGGTGTCCCTCCCCAATTTTTGGCGTTCCTCTCCCAGATTTTTAGGGTTTATTTCCCAGATTTTTGAGGTTCTCCTCCCAGATTTTTTGAGTGTATCTCCCCATATCTTTGGAGTATATCTCCCAGATTTTTAGGGTTTATTTCCCTGATTTTTTGGGGTGTCCCTCCCCAATTTTTGGGTGTATCTCCCCAGATTTTTTGGGTTTATTTCCCAGATTTTTAGGATGTATCTCCCCAATTTTTTGAGTGTATCTCCCCAGATTTTTGACGTATATCTCCCAGATTTTTTGGGGTGTTTTCCCAGATTTTTGGGGTGCCCCTGGGGGTTTTTTGGGTTTATTTCCCCTACCCGGTCCAGCCGGCTCTCGTCCATGGACTTGGAGTACTCCTTGAGCTTGTACTCCTGACCCCTCACCTGGCCCAGGTTTTTGGGTTTATTTCCCAGATTTTTGGGTGTTATCTCCCCAATTTTTGGGTTTATTTCCCAGATTTTTGGGTTTATTTCCCAGATTTTTTAGGGTGTATCTCCCCAATTTTTTGAGGTGTCCCTCCCCAATTTTTGGCGTTCCTCTCCCAGATTTTTAGGGTTTATTTCCCAGATTTTTGAGGTTGTCCTCCCAGATTTTTTGAGTGTATCTCCCCATATTTTTGGAGTATATCTCCCAGATTTTTAGGGTTTATTTCCCTGATTTTTTGGGGTGTCCCTCCCCAATTTTTGGGTGTATCTCCCCAGATTTTTTGGGTTTATTTCCCAGATTTTTTGGCTATATCTCCCCAATTTTTTGAGTGTATCTCCCCATATTTTTGGGGTATATCTCCCATAATTTTGGGGTGTTTTCCCAGATTTTTGGGGTGTCCCTGGGGGTTTTTTTTGGGGATGTTCCCCTACCCGGTCCAGCCGGCTCTCGTCCATGGACTTGGAGTACTCCTTGAGCTTGTGCTCCTGACCCCTCACCTGGTCCAGGTTTTTTGGGTTTATTCCCCAGATTTTTGGGTTTATTTCCCAGATTTTTTGGGTTTATTTCCCCAGATTTTTTAGGTTTATTTCCCAGATTTTTAGGGTCTCCCTCCCCAATTTTTGGAGTATATTTCCCCGATTTTTAGGGTCTCCCTCCCCGATTTTTTGGGTATATTTCCCCAATTTTTTGAGTGTATCTCCCCAGATTTTTAGGGCGTCCCTCCCCAATTTTTTGGGGTGCATTCCCAATTTTTTTTGGGATGTTCCCCTACCCGGTCCAGCCGGCTCTCGTCCATGGACTTGGAGTACTCCTTGAGCTTGTACTCCTCGCGCTCGATGTGGGCGCTCTCGATGTCGGCCGACAGGTGGGGCATGTTGGACACCC